TGGGCCGCCCCGCGTCCCACCCGGGCCGGGGGAGCCGCGATTGCCCTTCCCCGCCCCCGTGACCCGCACTCCGGGCTCCCTGAAGTCCCCCCTCGGCCTCTTCATTCATCGCCCGCCGCTGCAGCCGCCGCCCTGCCTGGGCTTGGTTTTCCTTTCTTTTTGTTTGCTTTTTTTTTTTTTTTTTGGCTCTCTCTTATAACTCAGATTTTGGTCGGTGGGGAAGATGGCTTTCGGAGGAGGAGAAGGAAGTGGAGGAAGGATGAAGGTTTTTTTGAAGTCTTGCCGAAGTTTTAACTTAACAGCCAGCTCCTGTTTGGAAAGTTTGACAGTCGATTTTTCTGGCGTGTGGGTGAAAGGAAGTTCAGTGGGATTTAGGGAATAAATCTGATTTTTTAGAATGGGTTTAAGACAGCGTCCAGTCCAAACACTATCAAAGTGTGCTCAGTTCAGTTGCATCTTATGGAACTTGTTGCAGATTTGATGCGTTGCTGCAGGAACATTGCATTTCTAAGGACTTGGGGTGAACTGGAAATGTCAGAATTTTGATAGTGAGCAACTTCAGTAAATTTGTTTAGAAGATTCTGTTATTTGGGTCAGGCACTACATTGTTTTCTCTCAAAAAAGTCAGTTGTGTCTAAAAATTTCATGTTCTCTTTCAAAGAGTCTTATACTATTATTTTAAGTATGTTCCCTTTCAAAGAGAGTTACACTATTTTGAGTCCTTCCACAGATCAGAAGTAAGATGAGTACTGTTGTCCTGTTGGACAATAACAGCGCTCTTAAGGCTCTGTAAATTTGTGCTCCTTAAGTGGGAGGGATGTGTACAATCTTTTGTCACTTCTTTTTCCAAAATATTTTGTGAAAATGAAATGGGTAGCACTAGAAATTCCTATGCACAGGCCCCTCATCTTGAGACACACAGCTTCAGTTAGGCTTAAAAAGTAAACACAGTGAGCTACACAGTTTATTTCTGTTTTGAAAGATTCAGCCCTGCTTGGGAGTTGGTATGACCTTGTACTAAGAGTGTAGTTTTTGATGTGTTATGAGCTGGAGAAGTAGTAGCCTTGTTGCTCGCTGATCCATCTTCCTTTGCATTGAGGATGGCTTGTGTGATTACAGGACAGACTGAATCAAGAAGCTTGTCTGTGTCTGACTGCTTTTTGGTGCCCTTTTTTTTTTTTCTTTCCATTTTCCTTAGGCTTGGGACATGGCTGGGTATTTGTGTGGAGGAACAAGCAGAGAGTAAGAGTGTCTTTGGAAAAAGTGCTGGCTCAGCAGCTGTGAGTTAGATGAAGCTTCCTAATTTGGTTCAGATTAGAAAAGGGAAAGGTGTGCCCCAGCAGAAGCAGGTTTCTTCATACTCTCCTTTTTTTTTTTTTTAACTGAAAATCTTTAATGAAAATACAAGAGTTTGAGGTACTAGGTAGGCTAAAAGCTGTTCTGTCATTCTGATATTTTCCTGTATCTCTCAGGGATGAGCCTGTGGTGTGTAGTCTGGTATTTAAGACTGCCCTGTGATGAGGTGGCTTTGTAACATGTGGTGAATAAAAAAAGGCTTGAAGCTGATTTTTGGTCACACTGGAATTTTGGCTAATGAACTGCTCGTCTGCCTTGTTATGGATAATGACTCTACTTTGTGAACTTTTGGTTACATGTTTGCCTTGAATTAGTAGGGCGTCTTTTAGGAAGTCCCATTTATCAGTGCAGGCCCTAGGAAAAATCACTTCCCTGCTTCTGTGCCTTCTCTCCACCTCTCTCTTCCTGCAGCCTCTCCTTGTTCTACGCCTTGTTTTCTGGAGACTGTAACACTTAATCCTCTGCCCCCTCTTCCCGTGGTCCATGGCTGGTGGAACAGCAGCAGGAGGAGCTGGATTCTAGCTGGGCACCTCTGAGCCCCCTGCCACCTCCCAAGGTGGCCTGACTGCCTGGCCCTGGCTCAGCACATGCTGCCTCCTGTCCCAGGCTGACACATGTTCTGTTGAACACATCTGGATGAGATCTTTTTTCACCAGATGCTTTGAGAACCAGCCCAGGTGCTACTGAAAGGATACATTACCCTTCAGATAGATGATTACTGGTACACAGGCTGTTAACCAGAAGCATAAAACCATTCATATTCTCATTTTCATGGAGGTAATAAACACAGGAATTAAATAGATAGCTGCCTTGTATTTTTGCAGGTGAAGCATAAAATTGAAAAAAGCAACCTGACTCTGTGTGTGTTTTCAGTTCCTGAGGCCTCATTTCTTTGCCATTTTTAAGAAATATACCTGTAACACAAACACTTAAGGTCTGCAGCAAGCTGCTCAGCTTTCCATGGCAAAGGGCAATAATTAGCTCTCAGAGTTTGGTTTTCTCGTTTGTTTAGTAGTAAACATCCTGCATGATCAGGACATTTCTTATGCATATGGATTTGCTCACAAGCCAGCATTTCCACTCAACTGACAAATGCTGAGTTCAGAAGCGTGTGCACTTTGCCTTTGCATGTTCCAACACACTATAACTAGACTAACCTCTTCCAGTCACTTTACAGGTATGTGGAGGTTCTAACAGAAACATTTTTCCATTTGAAAGGCATTTTACAATGTAGAGCTCCTGTAGTACAACGGGAAAGGGATCTGCAAGATTTCTTTGAATAAAAAAGCCACCCACAGGATTAGCAATCACTGTTCTACTTAAACTTGCACTTCCATTGAAAGAAAGTGTCTAGCTTACACTGGTTTTCTAGTTTTAACTGTTTGCTGTTAAGTCTACAGGCAGATGTTCCAGTTCTTCTGCTCAGAGGTTCTGAGGAACTTAGAAGAAAAGTGGATCTCAACATTTGAACATTTAAAATGATTCTTTTGAACACACATAACTTCTAGGTGGTCCAGAAATTACTGGAGAAGAATTCAGGTGAAGACAGAGGAAAGGGTAGAATAGTAAACACAGCAAAGAAATGAAGAAGTTGGCTTTTTGGTACACAGAAGGCTGGATGCACTATGAAGTAATGGAGTTTACTCCATTTCAACCCTCCCTTACTATCAAGTGTAGACCTAGTAGTTGTAGGAAGTAAGATAGACTGATTTTTAATTTTTTTTTAAATTCAGTATAACTGATGAACATTCCTGGCATTTTGCCAAATTGCTCAGCCACTGTATCTGGTCAGGTGCAGTTCATCAATGATGTTCAGTTTTATTTCACAAATCCCGAAGATAATATTTAATTAACTTTTGTTTGGATGTGGAAGTTAAATATATTGAAAATGCATTGAAGAAATATTAAATACAAAGCTATTAGAGGTGCCATATATTGTGTGGAAGAGTTTTTTTTCTTTTAGTCCCTTTAAGAAGTAGAGGATAAAGTCTTTGGAGTCATGATGTTCTGGCAGAGTAAGGTTATGCAAACACCTCA